GTGTCAAAAAAAAAAAAAAAAAAAAAAAAGGGGGGGGAAAAACGAACTGCAACAGAGTGTACCTGACGACTGACGGACCAACCACAGTGTTCTTCAGAGGAACAAAACCAGGCAGTCCTCATCTCTAGCCCACAACCGCCAGAGCACCAAAACCAGGCAGTCCTTGTTTCTAGCCCACCAAACGGTGGGCTAGAGACGAGGATTGCCTGGTTTTGTTCCTCTGGTGGCTCATGTACCTGAAGAACGCTGTGGTTGGTCCACCAGTCGTCAGGTACACTCTGCAGCAGCCCTGTTTTTCATTTTCTTTTCCACTTCAGAATAGATAAAGCAGATATATTGGGGCAGCCCATGATCTAACAGCCTCAGATAAAAAGCTGTCTCATTTTTCTTTTGCATCTGGGCTGTGGCCAGACTCCAACCGACACCAAACCTCCCAAAGTGGGGCCCATGGCCCCCGGAGGAGGGAAAAACATCAGCCAATTTCAGGCTGCTTCCGGAAAACGTCTCAAACCTGAAGCGTCACCCAGTTGTGCCACACAAGCTGACTGGAATACAACAGAAGCGATAAAAAGGGGAGCAGCTCGATTCCCACAAAATCACAAAATTCTATTTCTTTCTCTCCCCTCAAGGCCAGAGTCACGCTCACGTACGCAGCATGTCAGCTAGATCCATGCCAAGCCCCCCTCTGACGTCCAAAAAAGAAAAGAAAAGAAAAAAAGTACTACAATCAACTGGGCCCATGCCCATCACCTGTTTCTTCATCAACAGCTTCTTTCTACTGAGCTGACCAATGCACTCAATAGGAAAGGGGGTGCTGGGAGGAAAAGGTGGGGGGTGTTCACAGGGGGGTGACGGGGCCCAGAGAGGAGGGCGAGGAGGGTGGGAAGTGTGAGGAGGGGGGCCCTGTGGGTGAGGGGAGAGGGGAGTGGGGATGGGGGGGATGCAAGAGAAGGGGGATAAGGGGGGTCTGGAGGTGAGAAAAGAGGTGGTTGGGGAGGGGGGCTGGTAGGCGGAGGAGAGAAGGGGGAAGCTAGGAAATGAAAGAAATCTTACCCCTACCCTAACGCTTCCTTTCCTCTTTTCTTTTGTTTTCTCTGTCATCCTATACTTTTCCTATGTGCTTCAATGTTTTTTTTTTTCCTGTGAGCAAATATCTTTATGACAAACTGCCGCATTGCATGAACGGCTTCCGCAACACTGTTGGAGAGATCATGAAGACCGCCTTCAATCATAACCATCTCTGCTCCTCCCATAGATTGGCAGAGTCTTGTGAGGAGTCCTTTCTTGTCCACATGGTCTGGGATATATTCATCGGCCATGGAGAAAATCACCTGGACCGGTATTTGGGCCATATGACCAAGTTTGGTACCCAGTTCCTCAGCAGAAAGGTCAGAACTGAACATGTCATCCTGACCGTCTATTCCTGCCAAGGAATGAAATCTGAACGCTGTGATCGGAATGCCATCATTTGCCTCCAATGGCATAAGATCGCCCTGCTTCCCTTCTGCAATAAGCTTCTGTGCTATTTTTAGAAACTCGGCTGTCCCTGGAAGCGTTGTCAAATACTCCCGGTCACTAACTGGAGCTTGCAGAATTGCCCCTAGAATTTCTGTAGGCCACTCTGGAAATGTCCTCCGATAATGTACTATGTCCTGACAGCCTGTGCTATACCCAAGAAGAACGATTCCCTCTGACGCCATCTCGTTAATCAAAAACCCAATCACCKGCTCTATTTCCTCGGCATCCTGATCCAACGTCGCCATCCCATAGCCSGACAGCGATGACGATAACATTGGCTGGATGAGAGACCAGCCCTCAGCACATAACACTTGTGCT